CACTTATTCTTCTCTGGGATTTTGAGAAAAGATGGAGTCAAATAACGTAAGCATTTGGTGGTATTACACAGGGTTAGTGGTGTGCCTTTGACTCGACTAATAGACACCGTTCTTTATAGACATTTCAGTTCTTTCAAGCAACTGGTTAAATTCAACTTGTCTGATACTGAACATCCTCTTTATTCACAGCTTCCATCTTGTATCACTTTGGGTGAAACCGGAAGAAGAGATTTCATGAGAATTTATGCTCGTATGTCTAAATATAAGATTTAACCGTATCATATTTCGCACTGGTGATGTGAGCCGTGAAATGTGTCAGGAAAGTACTAACATGCCTATTCTAAAATTGTCGAATAAATGAGAAGTCATAACTAGCACACCCTTGTCTAGTTAACTAGTTCATCAATGATTTATCACCTGATCCTATGCTTAATAAAAAGGAAAGATTCAGCTTGCGGATAATAGCCCTACCCTGAAAAATCATTGCAATCTCTAAGGGAACTTCAAAACACAGAACAGGTGTAAAATAAATTAACTTCCTTTTATCTGGAATCGGGTTAAGGGAATGACGTCTAGCTGGTGAAAGCCTTCGATAAAGCAGCAGATAGATGTGTCGTCTTTTGGTGAAAGCAAAAGTAAACAAAGTTAAATGAAATAACTGAATGTTATTTGAGGCTGTCCGTAACACACAGATTGCAGGAAGTTTCAAAACTATAACATAAATCTACCAATAATTTGTGGGGTCTAAAAAAGTAGTTGTTGATTATACAAGTCGTTGGTTTCAAAGCCAGTTATGCATTACGCCACCCAGACGACGGCTACTAGAATAATGAAGGAATGTCTATCATGATATCACCAACAGCATCTAGCGCTCTTATGCCATCAGAACAAATCTTCTCCAGGATAATGATGGCAGGATTCAACTCAGAAGGCGAGAAAGGTACTATTAGCCAATACCACAGCCCTACAAAAAACCAGGATCAAGCGAATAAGGTAAAAATTTACAGTTAAATGCAAACAGCAGTTGACAAGACTGTTAACAGCAACATCAAATTCCTAGTGGGTCGTTTGAACGTCAAAACTGAAAGTAGGCAATGCAGGAAGACAGCTAGCTATAAATGAGCGAACTGTCTACAAAATCAAGGCGAACTGAAAGCCATTAGCAGATTTTTGCGCTTTCAGTGATTTAGTGATTGGAGACGGCGTATATAAGCAAATGGAAATGCAAAAAGTGAATGGAATTCCCTCAAATGTGACACAAAAGCCAACTCAATTCCAAGAAAGACGAGATGCAGCCGACTGGAGGCATGGTAGAGAAGACAAGATGAAAAAAGTCCGAAAATTGGTTACAGAAAGAAACCCACAAGGTCTAGTTGAAGATTTTCTTGGATGCTAAGGATAGTTTACAGACCGAACTACGAGTGACACCTTCACTGCAGCTATCATAGACATTATTTAGTGTGTGCGAAACAACACTGGATCTCTGTGAAAGTGACAGTGAAGGAGACCTGTATGACCGTTTCAGGAAGGGAGGAGAAACAAGACCATTTATGGCTGACTACGGAGACGTGTTGGCTAACATAGGGGAGAGGGGTCGTGAAATGGATATCAATCCGCATCATCATGGAGAGGTCAAATGATGCTCTGGATGCAAAACTCCGAGCCGGACAAGCTTAATTCAGGAAAAAAAACCATACACGGATCGAACTGCAACTCTACGCAAAATCGTCTAACAGAGAAATGAACGACAGTCAACTACTTACCTTAATTTCATCGAATCCCAAAAGACCATTGAAATTGTAAACTGGACACCATGAAGCACCTCATACAATAGATATATGATAATTCCACAAGTCAGGTGAAAGACTTTGAAGTAACAGTAAGAGAAAGACATAGTTGCTCACTATCATCGATGAAAAGTCTAATTGTGGTGGGCAGAATCATGCAGCAAACGCTTAGAAGATGGAGATTGGGATAAGTTAAAGCAATGGTAAGATACTGGAATATACGGACTTCCATATGCCTTACGCCTAACTTCACACGAGATCTAGGACTGACAGGCGAGAAGCAAGAGGTTGGTAACAGAGGCAGCGAGAACTAGACTACAAGTAAACACAGAGAAGACACAGGTGATAAAGATATTTAACCGACTTCAGCAAAAACCATTTACGATGAACAGAAGAAATAATATGAGAATCATTTGCATGACTTGTGTGGACAGTATCGTTTCAACTACATGCATATATATGAGGATATCAAGGCCAGACAGGATCAGGAACGCAAGACAGGCATTTAGTACTCTAGAATCAGCATAAAGATCCTCAGTACCTGTGGAGTACGTAACAATGTGATTGTACACTTTTTGGTTATTTGTATAAATTCGAGATATTGTACATAATTTTTGTTTAAAACGCTTCTTGTTGAAATATACATAACTTCCGTGTACAATTGAAAAATACACTCTGCTGTTGGAGACTTCGTCTTCTCCCTGGTCACTTCTGCTTACTTGCTCCACTCACACCGTGTTGTATACTTCGGATTTATTGTAGGAGTCTACTACTCTCAACCAAAGACATTTCTACAACCGGAACACAGCAGCTACAGCAGACGCAACCCAATCAATTAACGTACCCGTGGATCATATACATAATTTGTAGCAGAGGACTTAGACTTTATATCCAAGTAATCCTTTTTGTTGATACAACTCGTCACTGCATTTTTTGGTAATATATTGTTATTTAACACTCCATTGACTTGGATTATTATTCTTATATTTAAAATGTTAGTGAGCTCTAGTATAAGTCCCCAACATACCCATCACAAATGACATGATCCTAATTTCCAAGCCACTCAGTGCCTCCATATAGTCGAAAGTAGGTGCAGTATAACTTTGTCAACAAATGCCTTCGTTCGATCTTGAAGATTAGATGGGCAGTGAGAAATGATAAGCAAATAAGAACACCGAACAGAGGATTGTTCCGTAAGCTACTGCTTAATAAACATGCACAATTAAGTGGAAATGGATTGGAAACACTCTAAAATGATCATTCATTTCAATCACACCCTGGCTATGCCCTCGAGTGGAACCCGAATGAGGAATGGAGAGTTATACCTCCAAGGATGTCATGGAAAACATCATGTGCTAAGAAGGAGGAGGATGCTTGCATGTAATCGTGAAATCAGGTGATAAACACTGCAGGGAACAGGGTGAAGTGAAAATGTGCTGCCAGAGTTGTTGTTCTGTTCTCCTGAAAACCCAAGAGTATAATAACAATCTATTCGTAACATCATTGTCACACATATTATTCCTCTCCTAACTTCACCTTTAACGGTGACACCACTTTCTTCTCATTTGACTGAAAGGATAAGCTATTGTATTATAAACATGCATTAAAGTCATAATGTAACAACAGAAGACAAGGGCCAGGCAACAGATCGTTTTATTATGAAAATCAACACGTATTTATACATATTTCAGACAACATTATTATAGACAAGCGCAGTCATCTGATTGGTTGTTTAGGTAGACAAACGCAGGCTTCTGATTGGTTGTTTACTCAGGCTTGTTCATATTTTCTCACGGCCCATATTAGTGACCTAGACCTTAACGTAGATTAGTGCCAACCAATCGGCTAGCAGCCTGCTCTCACCACACTCGTCCCCCCGTCAAATACGTGCGACTGAAGTCGGCTTGATCTACTTGGTGCAGGCTTCATCGTTGGCTTGTCTCGCTGTATCCATTTCTGGAGCTCGTTGACGTTCACGCGCCTCTCATTGTTCGCCATTGCGACTGTGTCTGCGTAACCCCATCTCGAAGTGACCATATATGGTCCTTCCCACTTTGGAAACTGTTTGCCTGACCCTGTCGAACATTCGTCCATACTTCGGCCCACACCTTCATATGCTGCTTTCGCCCGACCTCCCAGCAGCGTCTCAAGTAGCAGCTCCATCGCTGACAGATCTTGAACGCCACTCAACTCAGAATGAAACTGTTAAACTCATTATTATTTCCAGTGGTCTCTTAAAATAGATCATCCAGTGTAATAAGCAATCAACCTACATAGATATAATCACATGCAATGTGAAGATTAACATATTTAGTAGGATTGATGAATGAAATGCTTAGCGAGCAACTCAAGAATGATGCAGTAAACAGTTAACCATAAATAGTGTACACCCGAGAATATAGACATTATGATTTCAGTTTTATCATGGTGATCCGATTCCTGAGTTACAAGGCAGATATTAAGACAGGACTTCTCTCTACACCTAATCAGTAAACTGCGATGTAGATGGAAAGCGAACAGAACCGTCTATTTATAATCAATTATTAAAAGTCAAAACAATTGAAACCGCTATCGTCTACATCATTCGACTACCACCGGAAACAGCAGTAACTGGGAATGAAGCGTATAGCACAGCGAATCAGTTCTTTACTTCCAGTCTGAAGATGTGTATTTAAAGACAAAAATGCTTCCAAAGCCACCTTTAGCATATAACTAAAGCTACACACAAAGATAACTAAGGTTTCTGATATATGCTTGTTGCTTATCCTCTTTGTATATTCATAGAAATGGAATATCAGGTGAGATCACAGGATGCACAAAAATCGACAGAATAGTAAACAACTCGAATGCTGATGATGGTGAGGATGATGTATTAATATGGTTGGTTTAAGAAAGAATTCAATGACAATTTTATGGATGATAACAGTCCATGACAAATACGAAAGGAATGAAATCACTGGGGAAATACAGTCATTATCTTGAATTACTAAGTCTTTTTGAAGTTGAAAAACATAATGACATCTGATCTGTAAAAATATTATCGAGTAACAGCGAAATATGTCAAAAATGTAGATGTTTTAAATTATAGTTAATTAGAGAATGAGATAAATTTCAAAAGGTTAAATCCTGTTCATCATGTGTATAGTGACAACGTAAAAATAAAGGAGCATGGTACGTGGTAGAAGTAGGTCAGTTATGGTGACCATCTTGTCCTCAGAACAATGAGATGAAAAAGATTATAGCCATGCAGAAAGATATGAGTACTTTTCCGTCTGGAACGTATCTCACTTGTAATGATGCCGATGGGAAGTAGTTCGGATCGAATACACTGTGAACAAATAACGGCAACAACAATAAAAGTGATAAATGAGATTGACGTTCTTTTCTTCATTTAAGGTGAATAATTTTCCAAAAGAAATGCAAAAATAAGAAGTCGTCATTTTAACAAAGTAACTCAAAATCAATTATATTAATCAAATTGATTGCTGAAGACTATGAGGTTCACTGATCCCTCCCCTTTCAAGCCAATCCTAATTTACCTGACAAATTTCATCCCTCAGGTTACATAATGTATAGTGTGTACGATCAATAGAAATAAGGAAGTATTACTAGTCAATTCGTGATGAACAGTTGCACGCAAGTAAAACCACACGTGATGCAAGCAAAGTATTGAAATATTTAAGGTAGCAGTAGATTGTATTTGGCATCAGACAGGCGAAAATGACCACTTTCTGAATGACCAAAACAAATGCAATACGTATTTGAACACCTTCAAGACACACACATTTAGCTTCTCCTCGTCGTTTCCAGTAACTCATACTGTGCACAAAAGGCGAACTGATGAAGTGACCTCAAGAGTAGAAGCAATTCGACAGAAGTATGACAATTGCTCTGTAAATAAAATGCTCTATTTTCACTATGGACATGATACGCAACAGAAAGCCTACTCTCACGATTTTGGTGAAACAATCACCAGAATTGTATTGTTCCATTATTGACCCTCCTCATATGATGGTCGTGGCGAATTGTTGTTAACAAACACATCAGATTGCTGAGTCGTGCTCTGCAATACAGGGCTACTTATATCCATCCATATGCAGTTATTATTGAGGAGCTAATTGAAATGTGAATGGTTATTCGCCAAATCATTTGCTTTAAAACGATACAGCTCATATATCAACATATATGAATGTATGGAAACAAAGATAAGTCGTAGTCATCGCACTGTGAGCCTGACAGAGAGTGAACACATAATCGGCTGGCTTGAAATGCAAATCAAATTCAAGTACGGTGATAAGCACCGGTATTAGATTGACAGCCTTTTTTCTCAGTCGGAGCATATTGTTATTATGAGTCACATACAAAACAGAAAACGTGTGATAATAGTCGATGGTGATAGCATAAGAGTCATTCTTGAAGTTGAAACCAACGTGTAAGTAGGAAACCTGTATCTTGTTAAAATGGACTTATCACAATCATTTATACTCGATCACACTACCAAGTGTAGAGTTGTCAATTATACACCTTCTTAATTACAAATCACCTATTACTCTCCTTTTTATGTCACATTCTGTTAGAAATAAAAGGAACTAAGTTGTTTCGAAATGAATGGGAAAGTATACGATTGAAAATGAAGGCAGATCTTACCCAGGTTCTCTGTAAACAAATAACAGTGACAACATTTAATGATAAGTGAGACTAACTAATGAGATATTCAAGATAACTGCTGTGATTAAACCTTTCTGTCAGCATCGTGTGCATGCGTGTGCTCATTACTGTTTGTTTCGATTTATTGTAAATCCCTATAAGAAGTATCGCTAGTAAATACGAAATTCTGACTTCTTATCGTCTCGCCCATGTGATATTCGGTTATTGCAGACTGAATTCGCAACGAAATATTAGCATAATATTATTTTGAAATTCGCTTGGGATGACAGGAAACAGTTGGTTATTTGAAGGAATAGAAAAATGATTAAGATAACGAAAATGGCTCAACGAGATTATCCTGAATATAATGGTTCGGTTATCATTCATATATAGCAATAGTCATTGTTATGTGCCGGTAAAACTCATCAGGTGAAATTATGAGTAGAATCATGATGTTCAACCCTGAATTTATTGAATGAAGCTAAAATATACCAAAGGAATGGTAGTCTTTAGCTCTCAATTAAAATACTAAGCTACATAAGTGTACACAAAAGGCTAAGATTGATAACGGAAAAAAATCTTACCCAGTTTCTCTGTAAACAAATAACAGTATGTATAACAATAAGTGAGATTGACGGAGTATTCTTCGGTTAGAAATCATTTGCATTCCGAAAGTCAAACACTAACAGATGCAGAAACATAACTAGTCTTGTGGTATTTCAGCAATAGAGACTATGATGATCACAGATCAAACGTGTTTCTAAAAGAATCATCAGCTAACTATTGCTTGGTGCACATAATGAGTAGAGGTAAGAACGAATCGCTGATATCACCGCCAAAATCCAGGCGATTCAAGCAAACCAATGAGCGATTGACGATAAATGTGGTGTCTGACATTTTCATTCACACAATTGTGTTTGTATATCAATGAGCATTACAAATGATGCAGATGAATGCGGAATTCTGACTTCTGTCGTGTCCATTTTATGGTTTTGTTTATATAATATCCAGATTTTGGAGACCGAATTTACTAGGAGATATTTCAATGATATTTTTGAGTCAATAGACCTGGAGAGAGAGAGAATGAATTTACAGAGTGAAATTCCGAGATGGTCGAATGCAATAAATATCTGAAAACGTCTTTTGAATATCATTGCGGCATTCTGGATTCAACAGATCTCCGACAAAAGACCTAATCTCACAATTTTGGTGAACACGTTACTGTAGTTTTACTTTTGCTCAAAATGTCTTGATTCTTGTGTTGTGTGGACAGTGATGAACTATTTTTAAAACTCTCATCATCACCATCATCATCTACTGCAATGAAAGGCTAAACCTTTTTGTATGCTCTTATTGATAGGTACCTAACTGAAGCGTAAATATTTCCTCTCCAAACTTGTTGTTCTTGTAAAGATGCACATTGACAGACGGAGATTATCCATCTTACTGTGCGGATGCATATTCGTGTAAAGAGTAATAATCGCGCAAAAAGCAATTCAACTTCGTAACATCTTCAACATGGCTTGTTGTTGGTGTTAATCATAAAAATTATGTTGGAACAGCTTTCCAGATCAAAAGCAAATACAGACAGGTTCATATACTGAAATATGGTGATAAAACGATGGCTAATAATAAAAATAAGCCTGTCATATTTGTGAAAAAAACAATATTTTGTTACACACAACGTTTACTGCTATTATCTACTCTGATTAACAAACCACTCATTATTTTGTTAATTCTAACTTTCCATACCTTTCCACTTTTGTATAATTTGAAGTGACCAAATAGATAACTTTAATCAAACTGTTCAAAAAGTGGCTACGTCAACTGCATCAAAATGATGAGATATAATCTGTTCTCCACGGGCTCTAACCAACTCTACTTAAAGCACCAACTGTTCACAATTTTAAAATGATGATGTGGACTCCTTTTCTTGTTCTTATTATATAACAGTTAGATTTTTCCGTATCACAAACATACTCAACAAGTATTACTTTCAGACTATGGAAATTGTGTTGATTTGGATCAATTTCAGGAGTTACATTTCGTCGTGAACTAATGTTAATTAGAGATCATCATAAAACAGGGAGTAGTGAACACCTGATAGTTGAAGGTCTTAAGTTTTACCGCTGGTATGGACGTGGATTAGCATTGATCAGCAGTGCCGAACTAGGAAAGCAACAGATTGCCAGTCCTCCCTCATTTCCAGTGATCTCAAACTAAGTTCGGCTCGTAACAAAATCTAAATAAATTCAATATAGAATCACATCTCCTGCATTTTAACTAAGCATGAATATGTGCATTAACTATGAAGTTTAGTCGTCAATTTAATTAGGCGATTTTAAAACAACCTAATCTTTTAACCAAGAACATATACCACTCTGGTTTGAAGTGAAGCAAAAATCATATGAATGTGTGCGGAAAATGATCTTACTCAGGTGAACTGTAAACAATTAACAACAACAACAAAAGTGATAAGTGAGACTGACGTTGTATTCTTAGTTTAAAATAGTTCGTTTGCCATAAATGAATAAAAATGAGGGGGGAAGATACTCAATTCTTGTTTATTCTGTCAAGGAAACTATTGAAATATGATTCTAATTAATTTGATCTATTTCACAACGCTGAAACTTTTTACTGACATCATTGTAAAGCAAATGCTTGGTTGTTTCCTGTAATATGAATTTGGTAACTTAATTGGCTGTATAACCTCATCTTGAAAATACTGGTTTGGCTATCATAGGTAGCTTTTGATGTAAACAGGCGAAATACCTTCCATTGATTTTCATTTCTGTAGAAATGGAAACTGACAAATAGACGTGCGTAATGAGACTTTTCTAGACATTGGTTCCTCACATTTTCACATTTTCATATATAATCCGTACTTCATTAACGCTATCTATATGTATTGAAGGAGGTAACTGGTCCCAAACATTGATGAAGTGGCATGATTTATCATAAAATTACACTCTCTATCTGTCCGTCATACACTACACTCTCCCTAGACTTCAATTAAGGGTAAATCGAAGCATAAATCATGAGGTCCCCTCTTCTTTTACGAATGATAGTTTAAACGATCTAATCGCCTAACGAGTGAAACATTCTAAGCTTCCTTGAAATGTATGAAAAAGACATATGATAGAGTATTGGAGAAAAATCTTACATAGGTCCTCTGTAAAGAAATAAACAAAGCAACAACAAAATTTATGATTGAAACTGACGTTATACTTTTGATTTTAAAGGAATCACATCTTCAAATACCAGAGAGACACAAGTGTAAAAACATTACACGTCTTGGATTACTTGCACTAGGAGAGAAATATTTCCATATTTGATTAAAATACCCATTGCAGTGTATGAGGATCATAAGTCTTTTGTCATTCAATGTAATCCCCCTCCACTACCTAACACTTTTCATTTGATGGTAACGCAATTGATTGTCTTTAGGTTGACTTGAATAAGGAATAATTACCAATAAAGTTATCAAGATCAGTTGAATGAAATTTAGGTAATCAAGAAATTGATTCATTGATTAAATTTCGACATAGAACATAGCACAGTATAATAGAAGTTCATGTTGCTAAACAATATGTAACACATGAAGATAACGAAGAAAAGAGGAGAAGAATTCAGAGTGCATAGAACATGCATAAATATGCAGGAGGATATATGGTTACTTTGAAATAGATGATTGTGTATTCGTGTTGGTGTTCACAAAGAAAGGAATGCACATACGTAAACAGGAATGATTTTCGGCAGTATCACTAACAGTCTCTGTTATTTGTTCTTAGCATCCCAAGGTCTCCAAGCAGTCCGTCTTCATCACTCCGGATGGCTTAAATGGACTATCGAAGAATTCATAGATTGCAGCTTGGTTTCGGTATGATGATTCCTAGCTCTTTCTCAAACAAGTATCACTTGACATTACTCGAAAAGAAAGGGAGTTTCTGCGTATGCGCAGCACTTGTTCTAGGCATCTCAATCGATGCAGCTACTCAACTTCCCTTTACACCTAACCGGAGTATTATTCACCACATTTTACCACTTAACACTGGTGATAGAAAGCAAATATCTGTGGTCGAAGGCAACTAGGCTTTTCATATCCTTTTTTTTCAAAGATCATGTCTTGCAGCCGTGAAGGAGGACGGAGCAAACTGTTGCGCAATACATAGACTGCAGAAATGACGTAAATTGACAAAAGCCACACGCGTGTTTTATATCCGTGCTGACAGTTCGTCAGCAACCAGTCTGCTGAGACTGATGCAATATCCCAGATAAATGAACTAGTAGTTCTACCATTTTACCCCCTATCTTTAAGCTGCAGCATTACCTTACATTTCACAGGAGCGAAACGCATGCCAGACACTCGGAGATTGCTGCTCAAGGTGTTGAGAAGACTCTGGACTATGTCAGTGTCATCATCTGAGAGGAAGATATAACCTGCATACTATAAGTCAAAGAGATATTTGTCTGGTAGTAAGTTAATCCTTTAGTTGTTAACATGAGTTGGGGTCAATTCGTTTAGTACACCTATAATGAAATTAAACAAAAGTGGGGACAATAAGCATCGCTGATGGACACCACAGTTCACTATTATTTGTGATCACATCACTCGGTAAGCTGCTATACGGTTTCGCCAGTTCGAGGTGGAATGCCTTGATTAGTGGAATATACTAACTCCGCACAGCCGCCAAGATCAGGCATCGCTACAGCGCCTCCCACTCGATGGAGCGAAATACTGCCTTCAGGTAAAAAATACAGCAATTGGTGTTCGTCGGTAAGTATTTTTCAAAACGCAGAAATATGTTGTAACGTGAGCATATATTCAATACACTATGTTCCTGGCTCAAAGCCTGCCTCACATTCCTGCATCTTTTGAGTCGGACATCACTGGCTGTATACAAAATTATTGATCCAGAACTTTAGATACTATATAAGTCAAGGTAGTTGCCGGATGAATATTACAGGAAGACTTGCCTGCCTTCGCCTAACTCGGGATAATCAATAAATTAAATAAGTCTAACGGAACTACCTCTCATTTCCAGATATTAATTTTTACCTCAGTTAACCCAGACTATGGTTTGTTAGCACCGTGCGTAAATACTTCTGGCGTCGTTCCACCAGGTCCTATTTCTCTGAATCTTTCCAGATGACAAACAGCTGTTGTAACCTGAGCTACAATCGGAGGACTGTTATCAACATTCTATTTAGGCATGTGTTGAACGGTGGGCACCTTGAGTTTGGATTTAGGCTAGTTAAATCGCTTCTTGAAGTTTTATCTCTAACAATGAGTCTTCTAAACTATGAGCTTAGCTTTTATCGTGGATTGTTTCACTAGTCATTTGTCTTTTAGAGCCCGTTTCCACAACAATCTTAAGTAGTTGTCTTGTGTTACCTATCCCTGATACCCTTCCCATCTCTTTCGCTTTTGTCGAATACCAGTGTTACTATCTCGGATGAAATAGCATTTTCTACATTTCAGATAAGCACAAATACTTGCACTCGCCATACTGTCTATTCTTCGACTTGATGAAGGAATGTTTAAGCAACCTAGTTGTCTAACTAGGAACATATACTAAGGTTCTTTGAAGTGAAAAAGAAAGCACACAATTTTATCTGGAAAAATATCTTACTCAGGTATGCTGTAAACAAAAAATAGTAAGAACAAGGATAAGTGAGATTGACGTCTTATGCTCCATTCAGAATGAATTTTTTGTTAAACTGAATGAAAAGAATTGTGAAAGATGCTCAGTTTTGGTTTATTTTATCAAGGAAACCGACTCTTTCTCGAATCATGTAAGACAAATAGTTAGTTGTTCGCAGTAATATAAAGTTGGTCAAAATAACGTAATTGGTTGTATGAGCCTGTTCTGAACATTTTTCTTTGGCTATCATTAGTAGTAAATCTCAACAGCTTTTGTTGTAGGTGAAATACCTCACATTATTAGTTTTAGGCATTTTGATCAAACTCACCCCATGCTCAATTGTGACGTCAGACAAAATACACAAAGCACACCACAAAAGCATCATTCCACATTCACATACAATGCCAACACGCTGTCTGGTCGATGACCAAGTGATGCACAATCCTGTCTGTCACCATTCCACCCGAAGACTATCCTGAACTACCTTGCATTTATTTTCCCTTTTCGTATAAGTGGAGACGGCCAAATAGATGTGTGTAATCAAACTGTTCGATTGGAAAATGTTTGCCCACACCCACCACATTGCTGGATATAATCTGTGAGTTATTAACGTTATCCAAATGTATCAGAAGATGTAATTGGTTTTATGTTATGATGAAATGATGTGGTTTCCTTCATTCCTTTGTTATATTAAAATTTTTATCTGTTTATCCTATGTACATCAGACAAATATCTGTTACTCATATAAAGTCACATCTTCTGCATATCAATTAAACATGCGAATGTGCATGAATCATGACTTTCACTCTTCTTTATTCTAATGAATCAAAGTTTAAACAACCTTATCATTTAACCAGGAATAAGTGTCTACCCGTCTAGATGTGTGGAACAGAAGCATACAACTGAGCTCGGGCAAACATCTCACCTCGGTTTTATAACTTCTTCTTCTTTTGGTTGAGTATCTATTGGTTTGAAATCTTCGAAGGTCATCAAAACCTTCTTTTGTACGGAACTTTCGGACAACCGGACCAATTGATACAATTTCTGTTTGCCTTCATTAAGTCCTACCAAGCAGACCATACGACCTCCTGTTTTCAAATTCCTTAGCCACTGAGTCAGGTATAATAAAAGAAGCAAAGGATAAAAATCATAATAATTTGATCATAGGGAAATCTGTAGTAACTGACAATAGTTGAGAATGCAAGCAAAAAAGAGATACAGCTTAGATATTGCATAAAGTTATAAAACAGAAGAGACAAAATGTTACTTGTGGTTCAATGAAGTTATTTTCAGTGGCCATCTTACAATATTTATATCCACTGAAACCTACAATATTCTAGTTTTAAACAGTAACTGTCGTAACATAATTGATACGGTCACTCAGAAGAGGTTCCCTCCATCAGGAAGCAATTACATCATTTATTCGATGATACAGAGGAGGTAAAACTTTGGAATTTGCTGACATGAAATGTTTAGAATTGAGAAACAAGCTGTCTGAGTGCACATTTAACAGGTTTGATGATGAGAACGGAAATATGACTAGGAAGTTGTGTCAGAGGAACACGCACAAAGTGATAATTTTGAATTACTTACTAAAAATAGAGGCAAAAATGCAAGAAGAAGTTAAAGAAAACAGGAGGAAGAGCGATCGAACAAACATTCTCGTGACACGAAAATAGGGATTGAGTTGATGGTTCGCTAGTCTCACGTCATACAGGGATATTGGCAGCTGACACCTGTTGTGCTGTTTTGTGTTATTTTGTGTATAGTTTCAATGAGAAACTTGAGTTCACCGTTTGCCCAAAAATTACACATCATTCTGTCCACAACCACACCAGATAATGCTCTCAAGGGCGCTTGGAATGCTACCACTTTGTGGTCAGCATAATTAGCCTCATATAAGCAAGTGAATTTATAAACAGACGTCGAAATTGTCTAAGTTGGCAGTTTACTGTTCCGATATCTACTAATCATTTACCTGCTGAAGAGAGTGAGGTTGAGATGAATAACTGATTATCTCAACGATCTGGAGAGTTAGTTCTTGAGAATCTCAGCCACAGTATCATCTGTGAATTTGATATCCGTGAAAACCAACTTCTCCAGAGTTATAAGAATTATTTCAAACCGTCGCCTTACTCTCTTGTTCTCATATATACGTTTTGTGGGTTATGCAATTCTTATGAAGTTTTTCCCAAGTCTTTTTAGTTAGCCACTATTACAGATTCTTCTAATTCTTGAAGGTAATTGATATATCAGGTTTATTTTTCTTACCAAAGCAATCCACTTGTGAAAATGCATGCATAGGTTATTCTATGCGGCCTTACTGAGTTGATCTAGGATTCGGACTCTAAGCTGATTGAGTAGACCGAGTTAGTGAACTCTTTCACTAAAGCTGAGATATCTGCACCTATATCCCACATAATGAATATATCCACGTATCGTTTTTTCATATAAAATCGCCCAACAGCATATCGCGGCACGTTATTTTATAGACTTGTGATAAAACAATCTGCAAGTAGAATGCACACTGGTGACCCCAGCCTGATTCCACTTTTTTTTCCTGTAAAGTGTCACTGAACTTTAAACAAACGTTAAAAGTTCACTTCAGGAGTACCTCTTTTAAGTAGTAAGTCTCCAAGGCCACATACAATTAATTAGACTGCATGAGTTATCATCGTGAATGAATAGTTTCTACGACGCAGACATTAGTGAAGAGAGGCGTAAAGTTTATTGGTGTAAGAACAAAACTTGTGCACTGTGGTAGAGTATAATTCCATTATGGGTAAATTTTTGTTTTGAGGCGTAAAGTTTGGTATTATTGATCACTGTAGTGATCGATTGGCAGCATGAATGTAAATAAAGAATTCAGTTAAAGATGAAGTCTCGAGCGTTTGATGAGTTTATATCTCCCAGCTTCATTCGAGTCCTCGTGAAAATTATACACAAAATAACACAAAACAGCACAACAGGTGTCAGCTGCCAATATCCCTGTATGACGTGAGACTAGCGAACCATCAACTCAATCCCTATTTTCGTGTCACGAGAATGTTTGTTCGATTGCTCTTCCTCCTGTTTTCTTTAACTTCTTCTTGCATTTTTGCCTCTATTTTTAGTAAGTAATTCAAAATTATCACTTTGTGCGTGTTCCTCTGACACAACTTCCTAGTCATATTTCCGTTCTCATCATCAAACCTGTTAAATGTGCACTCAGACAGCTTGTTTCTCAATTCTAAACATTTCATGTCAGCAAATTCCAAAGTTTTACCTCCTCTGTATCATCGAATAAATGATGTAATTGCTTCCTGATGGAGGGAACCTCTTCTGAGTGACCGTATCAATTATGTTACGACAGTTACTGTTTAAAACTAGAATATTGTAGGTTTCAGTGGATATAAATATTGTAAGATGGCCACTAATCATGATGACTGCATCGGTAATGAATAATTACTGGTTTTAGGTGGTGTTGATTTACTTCGTGAATAAGTAGTTTTGGTCGTATTATTTCATATCAGCCGAAGTTTAAACTCTTCGACAAAGTCTAAGAATTTCAGCCGTCATGTTATATGCATCAGAGAAATAAACGGGAACGGATAGAATGGGAACCACGTTTTCTGCAGATTATAGCACCTATTGATGCACTGCATTTTAGCAAAACGTTGACTCAAGTCTGACGCTGAATACTCACCGTATGCTTTATTCGCTCTAGTCAGTCTACACTGAATACCTTAAACTAATGACTGTGTATTGCCACCAGATATAAATCATGTTAATTTCCAAAATATTTCTCCCCTTCATTGTCCTATCACCTTTCGTTTTCTCTACTTTCACAGTATTTTATGAAAGTGATTTGCAATAACAATGGAAGCTAGTGAAAATAGTGCAGACAATTCATAAATTACTTTAATGTGCCAAAATCTGAGTTAGTGCGCTGACTGATTTTTGTTTAGTACAAATGACTGACATACTTATCGAAATAAAGTTTACATTATTATTATTTATTTCATTATTTAGAGTCCCCGGTGGAAATTGGGGCTGCATATTTGAGCTTGGAAGTTTGAGTCGCCTTAGTCACGATCCCCCCCCACCTCTTTATTACGCTTCATTTTGGCTAGAGGAGGTTAGGGAGTGCATCGGCTACGGACTGAATCCCGAACAATGTGCGCGGTAGGAGGGTATTCGACCAGCGAACTACCATAGAGTAAACGTTTTCGATATGAATAATTACAGGGAAAAACGTGACTAAGTAATCATGTGAGTGCAAGACTTGGGAGTACCCGATTCTATATTAATTTGTTCTTTGAAATATAACAAAGTTTACTCATTACTTCACAAATGATATTTTTGCACATTTTTAATCCTGTCTCCAATAATTTTAAGGTGACACACAACGTTCAAGTAAGAGGGAGTCATTAAAGTAAAACCTCTGGATAGAGGTTTCATATACAATGGCGTTTATATCGTCTCTGTGATCTTGATAAAATTAATTTCTTTCCCATGATTAGAACCTGTATTATTCAGTTGGAATGTGAGGAAATTTATAATTCGGCTACTAAGGCCTACAGCAGCTTCTCTCATTGAAAGCTTATGTGGAAGTGTTAATGCTTACATTTTAATAGTTTCTGTCGAAATAGCTATAAGCCAACACTGGTTAAAATTTTGTGTGTATACAGCCACGTTCTACACAAAAATTAGAGGAAGAATTTCTGAATCTCGAAAGTATTTTGAAAAACAATGGCTATCCACAGAAATTCATTCACAAGTACTGCAGGTGTTATGGTATAAGTACCAAACAAACAACAATGGAAAAGAAGCCTATCTTCATATTACTCTATTTTAAAGATAACAGTACTCCAAGAATATTCAACAGGAGACTTCTTATCTCACCAGCCAGAAACTATCCTACAGCTAAGTTGGTTCCTATTTATTAGACAGCATGCTCGGTGGTGCAGTCAAAGATCTAATAGTGTTAACAAATTAACATATATCTGCTCCACAACTTACACTGGCGAAAAGGAACGGAAGGCACACCTTCGATATTCTGAACATGTACGAAATAGTCTATGCCTTAAGGGCTTAAACACTTACATGAGATGGATATAATGAAATTCTTTAAAATTGTTAGTAAACAGAATGGTTAAATTCTCCCCAAAAATTTGCTGAGGCAACCATCATAAAACATATGAAATCCGATTTATGTGTCCAGAAAGAGGTAGTAATAATCAGTCTCCCAGATGACTGGATACCTTTACCATATCTTTTATTTGATTATGTAAGCTTTGCCTCTAAACTCTCCTTCTTCGTTACAGCGTCTCTTATTTCTACGATTTGAATTGGACATGCCATACTGTTATTCAGTTTATTAGTTACCCGTCATCTTATCGGCCTCTTGTCTCTATCACATAACTCTTTTTTTCAATGTATCCAAACATTTATTTATTTGTTTGTTGTTGTTTAAACTTGAGATTTCTGAGTATTGGCCATATGAGTTTAATTTTTGAACAGTGTCAGAATTGTTCTGCATATGATTAAATAATGGTGCCAATTTTAGCCATGTAATTAGTAACATAATCTTCTTTCTTCGGCATCAGTTCTCGTCAGGACATTAGACAGAACTACCAATATGTGGTTAGGATTTGTAAAGTTTGGATGTGTAATAATACACACGTACTCACCCTGTTCACATCACTTTCATGCTTTGCACGAACATAGATAGCATCATATTTTGCACTTAAAATCTCTGGTTTCTGACTGGAATAGGTTGCAAATTTAATTTGATACCCCACGTATAAGCCATATTTATAAGTTGCTTTACTATAATCTAACCAGCTTTTGACATTCGATGAAGCCCATGCAAATAAATCACCAGTGGGTTGAGCGGATACAGTGACACCTTCTTTACCTGTCTTTAAGAGATGAAAACAAAAATAGTATGAAACGGAAGACTAGTTTGAAATATAGTGAGCAATCAGCATCATTGTAATGGTCGTCTGAGTGGAACATTATGCTTGTGTACTAAAGATATGGACAAAACCTCATGTTTACATATTATATACTTCAGGTATTTCTGCGACTGAGATTTATAGTTTTGTGAACACGCTCGTCTGATAACTTTCAATAGTGCGTACTCAGAATACTCAGAACCGAAATCCTCCTAACTATGGAGAATATGGTTGTTAGATGAATCTATCACTGTACTTAGTTGCGAATGTTCATTAGTGTGGGGAGGTTAGTGGCTGACCAAACACGTTTATTGGCAGAAAAATCTAGTTCACCATTTTGTAGGTATTTCTCTATGACGTTGAAGACATAAAATTTACCTTACTCTGAGTTCCGTTCACAGTTCACTAGTGATACACACCTCTTCATGTTCACTGTGGATTTAGGAATCTGAACGCCATTGTATTTGTCACACTTATTCTACGTTCAATAGCTAACGTGGGAGTAGGATTTTGTATTTCTTACTTAAAACTGGCAGTTTGTATAGGGGTGGATAGTCTTGCAGCGTCGAATGTTTGTAGATGAGTTATTATTGAACGTTCGATTGTAACTTCAGTGATACCGTTACCTTTGAATTTGCGTTACGGGAGGACATACTGAACTTTATTTTACGCCTTTTTCGTTCATTCATTTCAACTCTCCTCATAAATATCTTACTTTAATTTCCTTAGATGAAGGAAAATCTCCGTGATTAACTTCGAAATCCCAACCAACGTTGAATAGCCTACCGTATACTCTTCTAGCCTAGTAATATTGACATGGAAACAATTATAAAGAAGAAAAACTATTAACTTAGTCCATTTAAATTAAAATTCATCTTGCACACAACAATGACTATGCAAATACGTATTTATCAACCAATATAGCCATCGAAATGACCATAGTCTTAAAAATACACTCGTTCGATTCATACCATTAGTGCATTAGTTATCTGTTGAAACTTTTAAATGAAACAAACCCTTCATGTTTATGATAGAAAAGACTCATTCAACAAGATACATAGTTTGTGTCTCTGAAAAGAGAATATAAATAAGCAAACCTGTGGTCACAGCCATGGCAAAACCTTGACTGCCAGTAAAACGTGTTAAATAGCAAGTAATGAGTATTCATCAGCAGCACATGTCTCAACGTAATAAGTCGGTGCAGTTTCGCATTGGTCTATTGGTCATATGGCAATCTTTCTCAAATAGGTCAGGCATTTCCAAGAGAACGCATTAAAAAAACTAAAACAAACCTATTCGTTTGACTGTTTGCGGTGAAAAATTCATCCAGCTAAATTGTCAGTCTACAACCTTCAATGCTTAGTGTTTTGAAGGAGTGTGGATGAAAATACTTAGTGATGAACAACGGTGTTAGTAGAACTAAAGTTGGGACACGATTAGAGGTCTGAAACGGTGTCCTGAAGTGAAAATACGATATACTAAAAACCGAAACACCATACTTTAGTGTAGCTGACTTACCATGATTGCTGTACAAGCCGTCATGTATCCGATACCTAGCTCGACAACTAAGGCATGTGAATCACCCTTGATGCCGAAGCTAAGTGCATCCAGAATCACTGCGTGCTGAAAAATTGAAAATTAAGTGATAATTGCTTTCCACACGTATCAAAACTTAAAAGTACAAAAACTTTAGCTCCATGACGGCGCCAAAAACAAAAATAGAGTATGACACCTCCAATTCGGTCGTTATTATTTACAAAAATCAGATTACGCAAAAGTGGGGACTTGAGTAGAAGCCATTTTATACCATTCATGAATTTTGTTAAGTATGTACAAGCTTGAGAAAACTCACATGCTACTAGTCATATTTTTAATTTTGGATAATAAAAGCTGTCCTAGTAGCCTATCAGCTATATAATCTACATTTTAGTTCTTATAACTACTATGTCAGAGATAAAAATTACATTCTTACAGGATTTGAATTTATCCACGTGTTACAGTGCTGGATTGATAACCACACTACTCTCTTTGTAATTGGTCGAGTAAAAACTATCGTTATTGTTCAGCACTAAGATTACATTTCACAGCTAGCAACATCGCTTACGTACATACAATGACTAAACATGAAGAACAGCGAATTGTGAGATTCTCAGACATTCATCTTATTGTGCTACAGTTTCGCAAAATAGATAGTATGCAGAACAATGAATGAGAAACATTGTCGAACTGTAAGTTGTAAATTTAGAAAATTCGAAGTCATTTAGATATTCCTCGAATCTCAAGTTTCAACATTCTAAATTTATAAAATCCATATAAATACAAGTAAATTAGCTCATATTGTCACTTTTGAATACCTACATTTTACAAAAATATTTATCTCGAAGGACTGAATATTCAATAAAGTAGATATATTATAGAAACAAACATATAAACATTTATGAAGATCAGGAAGTCACTATCACTCACTGTTAAGAGAATTGGAGATGTCAGTAAGCTCATCACAGACAAGTGAACAGAAGTTTTATGATTATAAAGTGTGGTCATAACCAAGTGTCATTAGTGTGCACAGGTTATTTAGGTAGAACCTACTGATATGTGTAATCACAGTGTTCACCATTATATGTTTGTACTGATGCCATTTATACTCTGAATGCCAAAGACATTCACTACCCAGTGTGGTTCAATAATTGTGAAAATAATTTGGTAGGGATTAAAACACAGAAATTCCCTCACATGGAAGTACCAATCTGTAGTAGTTTATAGAGATCTTACCTGAATCTAACTAATAATTATGCAGTCACTATAACATATGTGGTTAAAAGGGGGATGATGTTCTCCCCTTAAGTTTATTATCACATCACTTGTTTACCGGAAAACCGTTTTTCTAAAATATTTATTCTGTCAAAAACAATCAAATGAAATGAAGAGCTAGTTTGCAGACATCCAATTATTAAACACAATGGGAACTAATGTTCAGTTTTTATGGATTTTTATGCTGTTAATGAAAAATTGCAAGTTGCAACTCGATCAGCTTGAAAAGGGAGACTTATCAATGTGACTGTACGCGATGTAGTTGCTATTAAGTTAATACTAGTGTCTGAGACTGATTTACGACTAGAAATTAACTTTGGACTATTTATGCATTAAAATATATTGTAGTGACCCATTTTATTACTCATCTTTGTAGTATACTTTCACTATGTAATTAGACTTTCATTTGTTTATCTTTCTAAATATTGCGCGTTACAATTGATACTTTTGTGCTCGCTCGACTTTTGAATTTTGTTTACTGGGTTAATACACGTTCGTACTCCTTCTCAAGGGCCTTTTAATTTACGTTGTGGATGTTGAGGAATCACAACGTTAGGACATAATAATAAACGCGAAGAAGTACTAGGATATACGTGTACGCAAGTTTGATCAAAAAGAGCACCACAACAAATTGGTGAGCCCGACATGGCTGATCGACGCCATCATTTCAGAGTACACACATAGTGGATTTATTCATCATCAACTTTGATAACTGCATCACATTTCGATTTATATATATATATATATTCACTGACATTTTTTTGAAAATACTTTCGCTAAGCAGACCATTTTTTGAACCTACCTACATTCTGTTCTGCTCGCTCTCACTTTTTATATTTTTGTTATCACCTATATATATTATTTTCTGCATTTTTATAATGTCATTTAATACTGATAACGACCCTTCAAGTAGAAGGTCTGTAGCTGCCGTTACCATATCCGTACCACCTTTTAAACCTAATGATCCTTATTTGTGGTTCACTCGTCTAGAACACTACTTCCTAGCTAACCACGTCACTTCTCAAACTACAAAATTTGGCTATGCAAGCCCCATCTTACCGGATGAAATAGCAGAGCAAGTACGGGAGACGCTGATAAATCCAGATTCAGAAACTCCGTGCGATGTTTAAAAGCAGAAAGTTATTAAGGTTGCTTCATTATCAGATCAGGAAGCTATTGATCAGTTGCTGAGCAATGTTAGTCTGGGGGATAGAACACTGTGGTGATTGACAATTTCTATCTCTGTATTGTTTAAATACTTACTGTTGATTGTTAATATATTTCTTATATGAATTGCAATATAATTCCGCTAAATACAAATTCCTGAATTCCGCCCTCTCTGTGTTTTGGTTGAATTCTTGTAATTCGGTCATCTCGAAATACTAATACTACGATTACAAATAATTACAACAAACACCTTCACAACTCAAAAGCAATATGTGTAACATTTTAGGAGATCGGGAGATAGACACCTAGTTTTTTTACCAATTGTGGCTAAGGCAGTTACCCCACAACATTCAGCAAGTATTAGCATTTGGAGATGAAGACATAGATATTGACAAGTTAGCAGAAATTGCTGACAGAATGTATGAACGGATGTCTCCACAAGTAACATCTGTAGTCGACAAATCGTCAGACGAACGCATAGAAGCCTTAGAACGTAAAATAGATGTTCTGACCGAGCAATTAATGACGATGAGGGTTAATAGACAACCTAGTACATCACACAGAAGACAACGTAGTCGCTCACGCAATGTACATGAATATAGCTCACAATAGACTGTATGCTGATATCATCGAAAATTTGGTATAAACGCTAAAGGATGCACACAACCATGTGCTTTCCAGCAGCCAATGGCGTCGGGAAAACGGAAAGGCCAGCGGTTGGTGACGACTGCGGTTGCTGGCCGACAACCGTCCCACAGTCGTCTCCTCAGGGTGACAGATAAAATAATGGGGGCACAATTCCTGGTAGATACCGGTGCAGAAGTCAGTGTGGTTCCCCCAACACCCGGCGAACGTTTACAGCCAATCCCTCATTAGTACTTAAGGCTGCGAACAATTCTACTATAAAAACTTTTGGAACTCGAAGACAAAAACTTAATTTTGGTTGCAGTACACCATTTGAGTGGGAGTTCGTCATTGCCGATATAACCTTTCCTATTATTGGGATGGATTTTCTTCAGCACTACGAATTGCTAGTCGACTCTAGTCGCCATAGATTGATAAATAGCAATCAAAAACCATCGATTTCAGGCATCTGCACCGATGTCGAGAGTATCCGCTTGATGGTAGCTACATCAGATCAATTATCCCCGTACGAGATACTGCTAAAGAAATTTCCTGAACTCACACAGAGCGATTACTCAACAGCCTCTCTCAAACACAACATAACGCACCATATTGTAACTAAAGGTCGCAGCAAAACCACGTCGTTTAGATCCAGCAAAAATGCAAATAGCAAAAGCGGAGTTCAACAGATTGTTGGATCTAGGAATAATACGACCGTCAAACAGTCCATGGTCATCACCACTTCATATGGTTCCAAAGAAAAACTCAACAGAGATACGACCATGTGGAGATTACCGAGCTTTAAATAAGCAGACGATAGCCGATAGATACCCAATTCCGCATATTCACGATTTTTTTCATAACATGGCAGGTGCTCAAATATTTTCCAAAATTGACCTCGTTCGTGCATACTACCATATACCGGTCGAACCTAAGGACATCCCCAAAACTGCGGTAACCACTCCTTTTGGCTTATTTGAGTTCGTTCGTCTGCCATTTGGTTTAACTAACGAGCACAAACATTTCAGCGATTCATCGACCAGGTCCTGCACGGCCTCACATTCGCTTACACCTATATCGATGATATACTGGTTGCAAGTAAATCAACTGAAGAGCACCAACATCACTTAGAAACACTCTTTAAACGCTTGGCCGAATATGGAATTGTCATTAAACCAAGTAAATGTGAATTCGGTAAGAAAACTATACAATTTTGGGGCATCAGGTAGACAATCAAGGCATTCGACCGATAGCAGAACAACTTCAAGTCATAAAAGAATACCCATCCCAGATTCTTTCAAAAAGTTACGCAGATTCCTTGGTCTCGTCAATTTTTATCGCCGTTTCATTCCTCACTGTGCACAGCTGGCCCAACCACTGACAGATTTACTAAAAGGTGACGCAAAATCGCTGCACATGGATACTTCAGCAATCGAAGCATTTGAAAAGCTGAAACATGCTCTAAGCTCAGAAACTTACTGGTACGTCGTGACACCAACGCTCCTATAGCTATTATGACAGATGCATCAGATGTCGCCGTCGGCGCAGTTCTTCAACAATTCTCTGCTGGGAAATGGCAACCTCTCTCCTTTTTCTCCAAACGTCTAGACGCTACTCAATCAAGATATAGTGCATTCAGTAGAGAATTACTAGCAGTCTATCTTGCTGTTAAACATTTTCGTCATATGGTCGAAGGAATACCGTTTACTATCTACACAGACCACAAACCTTTAACCAAAGCCATGAATAAAAGCACGATAAGTACTCACCAAGAGAGCTCCGACACCTAGAGTTCATTTCTCAGTTCACTTCAGACATTAGATTCATCAAGGGACATAAAAACGAGGTAGCAGATGCGTTATCCCGCATCCATATAAATACCTTAGAAAAAGATCAGTTTGACCTTAAAAAGATGGCTAAACTGCAAACTATGGACGAGGATCTGAAAAGACTAAAAATAGCACGAGTACTTCTTTACGTTTGCAAGATGTTATGCTTGATGAAAGCCTAACTATTACGTGTGATGTGTCCAAAGGTAAACCGCGTCCTTTTGTCCCATTAGAAATGCGAAGATTAGTTTTCTCCAAAATACACGGCATTTCTCACCCTGGTATCCGAGCGACAGTTAAACTGATAAGTGACCGATATATATGGCCGAACATGAATCGCGAGATTAAACAGTGGACCAGAGCATGCCTAGCTTGCCAAAAGTAAAAAGTACTACGACATACAGTTTCACCTAATGCCAGTTTCCAGAGCCTGATGGTAGGTTCCAACACACACACATCGACATCATTGGGCCGTTACCGCCATCTAATGGCTTTACTTATATCTTAACGTGTATTGACAGATTTACGAGATGGCCAGTAGCTAGTCCCTTACCTGATATTTCGGCTGAAACTGTTGCAAAGAGCATCATACAAAATTGGATTTCCAACTTCGGAGTGCCCAGCATTATTACTACTGACAGAGGTGCTCAATTCGAAAGCCATTTATTCCAACAACTCACAGAACTACTGGGAATCAAGCGTATACGTACTACTGCTTATCATCCTAGTTCAAACTGCTTAGTGGGGAGATTTCATCGTCATCTGAAAGTAGCATTGATCCCAGTGAAGGATGATGATAAGTGGAGTGAAAAATTACCACTTGTACTTCTTGGAATACGCTCAACAATAAAGCAAGATATCGAATGTTGTCCAGCAGACTTAGTTTATGGAACTACTTTACAACTACCTGGAGAATATTTCAACCCAGCCACTGAAGTTCCAACTGACGAAACTACTTTTGCTGAACAACTGAGACATCATATGAGCCTTTTAAGATATCATCCCCAGTGACATCAGCTCAACCAAGCATACATGCCTCAAAAACTAGATGATTGCACTCATGTCTTCATTCGACACGACGGTGTAAGCAAAACCACTTCAACCACCCTATGATGGACCATTTAAAGTAATAAACAGAACAAACAAAATCATCACTGTCAAACGCGGAGGGAAACACGAGAATGTAGGCATCGATTGTGTAAAAGCAGCTTTCATGGAAGTAGAGGTGACTGAATGTTTACCCAAGCCATCACCATCTAAAGTTACACCACAAAATGATTCCTGCTCTCAAGATCCAAAACCTAGTGATATTTCGGCTAACAAAACAGAAAGAATCACAAGCTCAGGCAGGCGAGTACATTGGCCACAAAGATTTGTACAGACAATTTATTTCTAAATCATTTCCGTACTTCCTTATTACTGTGCTATTAACTGTAGGTAAGATATAAATCTATTCTGTAACTCTTTACAATAACAACCTCATTATTATTCTAATAAATTTTCTGGTTTTATTGTTACATTTTGCACAACTTTCTAAACATTTTGGTTCGTTTTAAAATTGTTAGCATTTTAGAATGTATGCAGTTATGTTAGCAAACCTCAGAAAACTTCAAAACCTCAATTCGGTGTTCATACCAGAATCTCTTATATATTTTTTCTCTCCCTTTAAATTACAATAACATTCCGAATACAGCTGAACTTCATTTACCTGCAATCTACGGAGAGGCTATTGTAGTGACCCATTTTATTACTCATCTTTGTAGTATACTTTCACTATGTAATTAGACTTTCATTTGTTTATCTTTCTAAATATTGCGCGTTACAATTGATACTTTTGTGCTCGCTCGACTTTTGAATTTTGTTTACTGGGTTAATACACGTTCGTACTCCTTCTCAAGGGCCTTTTAATTTACGTTGTGGATGTTGAGGAATCACAACGTTAGGACATAATAATAAACGCGAAGAAGTACTAGGATATACGTGTACGCAAGTTTGATCAAAAAGAGCACCACAACAATATCTCTCTGTACTTGGGCTTATAGCATTAAATTTCAAATAAGCAAGAGGAAAGACTTCATTACTTTGAAATTGCAGATGCTGAAATAACAAGCTAGACAAAATCTCAATTATTTACTAGTTTCGATATAGCAAAATCATCCATTCAGACATCTATAAAACACAAACTAATCGAGCAACATTATCATTACCTTGGCCATCCAGGTTTGTGTAATCTTGAATTTTTGTGAAATTTCCCTAATTTTAGTTGATATTCTATCCGCTATTATATCTTTATTATTATTATTTAAGCATTTTTAATGAACTGTAATTCCATTGTGATCTTACTTTACAAATCGATATTAATTAAAAAACACTAATATTGTCTGTGCATATAAACACATATATAATTATAGAGTCAGAAGAGGAATTTATCGAAAAGGATATTCTTTGCTCGATTATTTTGTGTTTTATAGATTTACTAGTTTATTTGAAACTATTTATTGTCAGCTATAAACACCAAAGATGCTGACTACTTGCAAATATATCACAGCATATTGAGGCCCTGAAATTTAAACACAGGCCATCAACTTAAACAGTTTAACAAATGTTATAGTTGAAACAAAACTCGCTCAAGGAATTCCTCATAGACAAGAGGCAGAGGGTTGGGATCAACTCAAAACTCTCCTCTTGGACAGCAGTACGTAGCGGAGTGCCACAAGGCACGGTCCTCTCCTATTTATTCTGTATATCAATGAGTTACCTTTGCTCACCGACTCCCCTATGATCCTATATGCAGATGACTTAAAAATTTGGAGAGAGCTGAAGGGCAACAGTGAAACGTTCACGTTGCAAGAGGACCTCAATAAATTTTCAGAGTGTTCCGTTGAACGGATGCTCCCGATCTATGTGGCAAAATGTGCAACCATGTGCATTGGACAACCAAGCACTAGCTCCAATGAATTAGAGGGAATTAACACTTCCATCAGTTCAGACTCACTTGGACTTAGGTGTCATAGTTAGCCACGACTTAAAAACTACAGCACACTGTCGCGCGGTGGCTGTACGTAGTTTCAGGTCCTTATGGACGATTCGCAGAGCCTTTACTAGAATTACCAGGGATATGTTCACCTCCTTATATACATCTCCGGTTAGGTCAAGACTGGAAAACTGCATCCAGGCCGCCAGTCCTTGTCTAAAAAGGGATTCACACATTCTAGAAAGTGTTAAAAGGAAGGCAACACGTATGATTCACGGCATAGCTAACTTATCATACGAGGAAAGACTAGACAGTTGAAGTCTCTTCTCTGTCATACGGTAGGCAGAGAGGAGATTTAATCACAATGTTTAAAATTTTAAATAATAATGACTAAGGACCTGACCTATTCTCTTTTTTCCTTCCCACTAGGGCGGAACACCTTAGAGGACATAGCAGGAAAGTTCAAAAGCCAAGGAGAAATCATACTGCTGTTGAGTACTGGTTCTCACATCGAGTCATAAACTCTTGGAACCGACTCCCAGAAGAAGTAGTATCTGCAACCTCAACTGATTCGTCCAAGAAGGGTTTGGACAACCACAGAAATCTACTAGAAAAGGATTAACATAGGCTCCAAGCCTTCTTTCCTCAACCAATAAATCTGAAATCTGAACATCCTAATAAGTGGTGGGAGAAAATCAAAATACCGATCAATCAAAAAAGATGGATTTTGTGCATGACCTTCAATATCCGGTGATACAGAATGATAAAATGATAAACAACACGACTTCTCTCTATAAATCTATTAAACTCACCACATAAGGAGCAGGGAACATAACACTAACTGGAGGATGGCGACCAATTTCAACCAATTTTGACCGATTTTCATATGGTTTATCATCTAAAAAACAGCTAAGATCCACACCTCTCATGGATCTTTCAGCTGCTTGTGTCTTTAGAAACCCACTATCTGTGTTGAAAATCGAGGTCAATTTAAAGTGATAATTACTCTTTAACGCTTTTATCATAGCTGAATGTGCTGCTTCATCTGGTTTGCAGGCAGTTACACAGCTACAAAAATGTAAAATGATGATTATTGCCGAAAGAGTTTTGTAATTTGTAGCTAGATCCATATCTGATTTCTGCAACCAACACGATAACGCAGATAACAATATCGAAATAGCGCCTTCAGATGTCCAATGTCCAATGCAACTCCAACAATATCCAATATCCAATATCCAACTCCAACAAGCTCGTTTGAACACAGTGAATACTTGCAGCCTATTCCTTGTTGTATCCAAAGGGCCCTAGAACTTTCGCGGATTTCAGTACAATCTATTCCATCGTATGATGAAGCTTTCTCAAGCAGAACAAGAGAGGTCACTTAAGCTTACGTTATTTCGGGGAATGCATGACGTTCACACTAGCGGTGGCATTGCTGGTACTTGGAAATTTTCAGTTCATCGGGCAGCTGCCCGGAACAGGTCAACAATCTATCAAGGAGAAGGTCCAGAGAATAACTGAATTTATCAAATCGAAGTTACGGTAAGAGTTTTGTGTGTAATTCAGGTGTAACACAAGGGCTTACGCACATATTACAAAAGCAAAAGTGTAGGAGACCAGTGGCGATAGAGGTAACATTAAAAGTTGTAGCAGACTAGTAGTAAATGTAAAGGCTAACTAAGATTGGTTGGATTTTCGCATTACCAGTAGAGTTCCCTATAAATATTCTTCTCCTTTGTACATGCGCTCCTTTGAGTGATGATCTAGTATTCTCTTGAAGATGCCAAATGTTGGTGCAGTCACAACGTCGGCCACAACTAATTTTCACACAGAAGCACAAAGAACCCTGTAATAAACGCTACAATCTGTCTATCAACGAGGTCTATCTGCTTAGTACTTCGCGTTGCGACTCCTGAATGATCAGACCTTGGGCTTGACTTGTATCTCATGAGTGGAAATAAGCCGTAATAAGCGCCGTTTCGGAGTTGGTCACTTCCACATAAGTTGAACAGGAAACAGTGTCCTTCCGGAGTACTGACAAAACTCACTTGATATTTTTTATTGTCGGAAGCTGATCCATTTTCTGTAGCCGAAATTTTAGTACGGTCAGTTCTTCCAGGAAAATTATCGAATCTCCTAAGTTTCCCACAGATTGAAATATATTTTCATCACCTGCGAATGGAATTAATCATAAATTCTTATTTCGGGGTGGTATCAAGTGAAACATGAATACAGATGACCGGTGGATTTCCGGTTGTGATTTTCTAATTTCAGTCCTCCTCCTCGAATACCGTATATAGGTTGACTTGATGAAAACATTTCGGAAAACACTCAAGTGTACTCCGATCTATGATAGATAACTTGTTACCACTTTACACACTTCTCATAGCCACCAATTTTTCTATCATAATATTTATTCAAATTACCGATTCACAACTCTGGATAATATAGAAGACTATCGGTGTTCCCGAAAGAGGAATAGGGGACAACCAATCAGGGTTAAAGCCTAGTCAGACACACTGAAGGGCAATAATCACCGAGTAGGTAGAGGAAGCCCTTCAAATCACAAGCGACGTATAGTTCCTACTTGGTTACTCATCTTGTCCTTTTGAATTTCTCAGATACTTACAACATCTGAGTGGGCGCACCATACAGTTTCGCAGAGGCCGTGCATCAACTGCCTGCTGGAAACGTCTTCCCTAAGATTGTCGGCTCGACTGGCCTGTCTCTTGGAGCCGTATTCAAGATTTCCTATTCAGCGCTTTGCGGTCTATGACGCCAGCTGACAGATCATGGCTTTGAGTCTCTCCAACCTGAATGTGCTGAATATACGTAGTAGATTTACGCGGAACAGGTTAAAGTTGATATCTAGTATTTTACCAACAAATGTAACGATGCCTTTCGTTGACCTTGTTTGCTGCTAATATTTCCTATTAAAATTGCAATACCAGACTGCTGGCGGTTGTCTCATAGTTCAAGCATCGTTTCCTGTTTCCCCATAGCAAATACCTACGAACTAATTTTCCTTTCAAGATTACGCTCACCTAAACCCAGTCGTCAATGTAGTTGAAGATTGAACGATCAATTCGTGGTTGTTTGCTCAAACCCAACTTCCTTATATTTTCGCGGAGGCATCAATCCACCAGTCATCGTTCCATCGATCGCTGTTCAGAAAGCAAGTATAAAACCATCAGAAGTAATATTGTGATTTATTATTGTAATACTTGTTAATAGACCTTAGTTATAAAGTTGGCTATATGTCGGTGTTAGAATAAAGAATTCTCGAGTCGCCAATCTGTGTTCTGGTTTTTGCGTCCGTTCGTACTAATCGTTTCTGAAAAGCTTCGAGGAACAGCGTGAGGCCCAGTGTAGCAAGTGCTGGGCATTAACAGTTTACGAGACGTGGCTGACACCAGTCTTCGCCAGCTTCAGCATATTGCGTCCCGAGACTGCCTTTTTCTGGACGGTTTGCCGGGTTATAGTTCATTCGCGTAGTGAGATGTGTTCAGGCAATCAGTATGAATGATAACTTAGAAGTTAAATTTGACACACATTTACATAAGCCAGGTTAAATTTTTAAAAAAGTTGATTAAGTTGAGAAGAAAACTATTTGGGGAACTCTCGCAAGTGTTCCATCCAACAGCGCATCGGTGTGAAAGGATTTTATCCGGCTCTGGCCGGCGAACAGGTGTTCACGCACCTGCTTCGGAGAAGGGCTGCCGTACGAAAAAAGACGAAGATGCTAGTTTAAAAAGTGAACGATTTCACGACATTCTTAGGAGTGCTTCACTGTCCACAAAAAGATCAATAAATTTTTTCAGTTTTAACTAATTCTGACTTGCAGAGATATTCCGTGATGTGAAAAAGATAAAATGAAACCGGGCGTAGGAGCTTCTTGTAGAAGATAAGAACAGCTTAAACAAACTATATTTCTTCCCCGCGTTAAATAAATGCGTCTATAAACCAACCTCTTCGTTGAAATCCTGGGTCATAAACACTGTAATTTATTGTGAATTTCAGCCGGTGATCGAACCTAGTCGGAGCGAAGAAAATCACGAATCATTTTGTCATGGAATATAAACATACGAAATAACATGATTAGGCTGATTCAGGTGTAGTGTTTTGGCCTAAATCAAGAATTTTTATAATCACAGACGTCAAAATGTCATCAAGTAACTCTAGCTTACATCTTAATACCAAAATGGAACCTATAAAGTTCTGTAAGATTATGCAACAAGAGATTAACCACAAGCCATAAGCTTTGATAAACACATGGGGACACGTAAACTCAGTAAGAATGCTTAATGAATCAAGAGGTGTGGAAATTAAGTCAACCATTCTTCTCAAGGAACATATCCCCAAGTTCCCATTGTTACGAAGACGCTCCTCACCGATAAATACTATGTACTTCCTTCGACTTTCAATCCCAAACACCAATAGTGTCAGAAAGAAGTTATATTGTTTGGCAATTAAAGCAAGGAATAGTAAAAGTCTATAAACAAACATTTTACACAAAATTATGAAGTACTTTTATTCATTTTTTGTAGTCCTCGTCGAACTTGTACACGATCGAACCATTCGCGCCTTCGAGTCACCCAACAATGGCTACTAGTTCCAAAAACAAACGTCCAGTGTTCACCTCTATTGACACTCCTCGGCAAAACAAGGTCCATTTCTTTTTCAACCGGGACTAGGCTAAATGGAAAAGCAAGACAAAAAAGCCCAACACACAACAAGCATACCACACCACACCGACACGCTCTCCCCGGCGCGTGGAATCTACGCTCTCTGTAGACGGTACCTCCACTGATCTAGTTAATGAAATGTCGGTTGCTTCATATCACTTTGGCACAACCCTCCCCCCGGCGTATCCAGCCACATACAGTTACTCTAACACTACTCGATTTGTTCACAAGTTTAGAAGACTAGAAATGACTTCAGAAGTACTTCCAATAACATTTCAAGATGATTCACACAATGCGACAACTATAAATAAACCAACAATTAGATGAGTTGGAACCCATTCAATTTTTTAACATAAATGTGTGTATGATCAATACATCAATTGTTGTGGATTCCGCCTCGACGAGCTACCTTTGCAGAACTGTAGGACTTACAGCAGTAAGCCTACATTCCTTCTCAGGCTGACGATCCAAGAGGAGAAAAGCCCGAACACAAATATAATACACCAACAGATAGATGAGAGATGATACCGATTCGGTATATACAACATGAACATATGTACAAAATAACACACTAAGTACGATGGACTGCGCTTCGACGTACTACCCTTAAAGAATTGTAAGACTTACGGCAGTACGCCTACAACCCTTTTCAGGTTGACGCCCTAGGTTGGAAAATCGTCAAGTGGTTCATCCTCTGACTATCGACTCCCAGCATCTTCCAGCACACACAGTTTACTAGTATCTCGCACAAACATACTACAGCCTGTTCCCAACTTAACCGTCCTCACCAACCCACCACCATTACAGAGTAGCCTTTCTACCACTCCCAAAGGCCATCTACCTCTGGCACATTTATCTGCTACTAAGACTGTATCACCAACCTTCAAGTTTCTGCACAACATTTTCCATTTGTCCCTAGTTTCCAGTGTTAGAGCATACTCCTTTAACCACCTTTTCCAAAATATATCTTTTATGTGCCTGGCATGCTTCCATGTTTTGATCGTAGGTATTCGTCCCCCGCTTGAGTTCTCTAGGCCAGGGTAGCCTCTCAATAACAGTAATTTATTTATGGTTAACACGTTGAAGTCCTTGACGTCGTCCCTCACAGGTAATAGCGGCCGATCATTTAGTATTCGTTCAGCCTCACAAAAAAATGTCTCCAACGTTTCGTCATTCAAACTCTGGTTTTTAATTATGGAGCTTAAAATTCGCTTAATAATTCCCATCAGTCTTTCCCTTAGCCCATCTCTATGGCTTGCACGTGGTGGGTTGAAGTGCCGCTCTATGTTTCTTTTCAGTAACTCTTGATGAACTCTCGTTTGCGGACCATCAAAATACTCTTTAAGCTCGGCGTGACAGCCAACAAAATTAGTCCCTCTGTCACTGAACATCATTTTCAGTGCACCTCGGCAATTTACAAACCCATGTAGAGCTAGAACGAATGAATCAGTACTTAACGTATGAACCATCTCAATATGCACAGCTCTCATTTTCAAACAGGTGAATAAACAGCCATATCTTTTACATAGAGTTCCACCTCTCTTCACTACAGAAGGTCCGAACAAATCCACTCCGACGTACCCGAATGGATAATTTCCTTCAGAAACTTGCAACGCTGGGAGTGGTGCCATCATTTGCTGTGCTTAGCGAGCGTTCTGCAGTTTACATTCCATGCACTTATGAATTGTTTTATGGACAGCAATACCTCCCTTCACAATCCAAAACTTACATCGAATACTCGATGACCTTCAAGAACATGGTAGTGTCTTATAATGAAATCAGTGACTGGATGGTAGCAAGATAATAAGGCCGGATGACGGGTCTCATATGACGATTCTAACATTTGTAGACGTCCACCAACTCTAGCGATCCCTCCGAAAACTATCGGAGATAATCTATCTAACCACGCCTTGAAATCTGCGAAATCAGGACCATCCTCCTTGGCAATCTCACCCCACGCTTCCCACTGAGCAGCCCTCAAAATCACTAACTCCGCATTTCTAATATCTTCGACTCTCAAAGGTCCCACATTCATATTATCGTATCCTGCAAGATGCATGACCTTTAAATACGCAACATACCATGTCAACCACGCAACAGCCTTCAGGAGTTTATACCAAGAAAAGAAATATTTAAAAAGTGGTTGTAAATCCGAATGTCCTTCTTGAGTAGATGTTAAACTGACACTTGTTTTAAACTTCAAGACAAACTCGCTCACGGTGATTCATCTTCTCTACGCTTCACATACTATCAGTGCGTAGAAAGATCTCTCTACCTGTCCACCACTTATTTTTAACCACATTCATTTCGATAACTCCTCGCGATGCTAGATCAGTTGATTTTTTTCCAGACGGTGCGTACCTCCATTGCTCGGCGCTTGTTAGTTCACGACTTT